GAGAAATAAATTATTATGGCTATGGAATAATGATTCTAGGCTTGAAATTAAGTTTTTAATTTTTGGGTATTTTTATGTGCAAATTTTTGAAATAAAAAGAGAAATTTTGATATTAAAAAATTATTTAAATGAAATTATTGTGAAGGAGACTATTGAATCACGTAGATAGGTTCAAATACATGAAATTAAATTTTAGAATTCAAGAGACTAAGACTAAATTCTTAAAAAATATATATAAAAATAAAATAAATATAAAATAAAATAAAATAAATACTTAGGTGTTAGAGTATGAGTGAAAATTGTGTTAATAATATTATTGACACATTGGGATATGATCAATTGTAGATTAATTTTTTTTTAATACTATTCAAGCTTTGGAAAGCTTTGGAAGTGTTGTAACTTGAGGGATAACCTTTGACCTCTCAAAGGTTGAGGTAATCAGGGAAATCTATTTTATGCATTTGTATGTTAATTAATTAATTATGTTAGTGAAATAAAAGAATATATATATATATATATATCTAAATTTGAAATAGTTGTTTTTAATGCATGTGACTTTGTTGAGACTCTATGATTTGTGACCAAGTTAATTATGACTTGGTATGAGTAATGAGATTGATGGTTGATGATTATGTGTACACTCTTGGTTATAAGTTGTGGATTATGCACAGTGATGAATTGTATGAGCATGTTGAGTTTTATATAATGCTAATGTGTTTTTGTATGATAATTTAAAAATTGATGCAAGAGGCATGATTGAAATATGATGATTCTTGATGTTTATTGAGTAAGAAAGTTGATGAGCATGTAGGATAATTTTAAAATATATATATATATATATATATGAGTTTTTGAAATGCATTTTCTCATGAGCATGATCATATGGCGGGAGTTCGCCTTAGTGAAGGAGTTAGCGGTTATGCAAAATCCATATGGTACTTGGCTATTAACCAATAATCCTAGGGGTTATTGCTGCTACTTACCTTGTAAGGTACTGTAGCATTGCTCCTATTAAGGGACTTGACCCTACTGGCCTACCTGGAGTTTTGGGTGGAGCTAGTTTGGGTATGACACCCCATAATGTGTGATTTGGGGGAAATCGTGTTCATAAGTGAGTAAGGTAACCCTGACTCGGTAGCCCCTCATGATATGATTAAGGCCTTGGGTAGTCTCACCACATGGATGATCCCTTTCAATTGTTGGCCCACGGATTTCATGTCAGAGGAAATAAGGGGGGATATAAGGAAAAGATCGATCATGTATATTATTATTATCATGCCATTTGAGTAATTGATGGCTATGTTGAGAATATGATTATAATTGTAGAAATAAGAACATGTAGTAATTATGCGAATAATGTATATGTGGCTATTTGTGTAAATTTTATACTTGACTTTATTCTTGAAATTATTCACATGAATTAAATGTTAATGTGATTAACATGTTATTAATGTGATTGTTTGAATGGTTACCTTGATAAATTTATTGGCCACTTGCATTCATGATTAATTATAATGCATTTGTATAACTTAGATATACCTTGATTACTGAGTGGTTGTAGTCACCCCTCTCTTTTAACATATTACAGGAGCTAGCTTATCTGAGAAGAATAGAGGAAAGGAGCATTAGGCCAAGTGATAATAATCACTTCTGTAGGTCTCTCTCCTTTTATGTTGATATGTGTATTTAGTTTATGATATTGTCAATTAGTATAATATATTCTTGATCCACTTGTACTAGGGGTTTTGTGTTGGATAGAAAGACATTTTGGGCCCTTGAGAATGTGTTTTGATACTTGTATTATATTAATGAGCTAAAATATTTGTGCAAGTAAAAATAGTTATTATCATGCTTCGTATAAGTTTAATTGAATGATATGAGTTTTTAAAATATTTTAAAGACTTGGGATCCCTTTATATTAAATAGTTTGAAAAAAAATAAATATATATTAAGAATTCATTTGGGTTAATCTCGTATTGGATAATCCATTTGGGTTAGTTCTTGATTAACCATGGTTAGTATGATGATTAAGTTCTAATTTAGGATGCCCATTACATCATAAGTCAAGCCACGTTTAACTTATCCAAATTCTTTGACATATGCCATGACGCACACAATACATGTCATGGTGTATGGCACAGTGAGTAGAGTCTCATTACTGCTTGCATGCTCTACTTCGAATCACAGTTCCCTACTTGATCCTAAATCATTCAACACCCCAACCACTCAAAACAATGATTCACCATCTAAAACCACAATTAATCCATTAATTACTAACTTATCCCTATTTGGCCATTACTTTTTCGAGTTAAAAAGTGTATAATGTTCCAAAAGACACAATTGCCTTTAGTGAGAAAATGCAACAAATACAAATTCAGATTTTTACAACTATGTATTTACGAATTCATAATTTTAGATTCACATATTAATAAATAATTATTCATTAGAAGTTAAATTATTGTTTAAAGTTGACATGTTCGTCTTAGCCAAATTCAATAAATTTACAACTTAAAATTTGAATATTCATAAGTATAAGTTCATCTATTCACAAGTCAAAGTTTATAAGTTATGACTTCATATATTCAGAATTGAGGTTCATCATGATAGCAAGTTTACATTTTTACAACCACATGTTCAGTAATTCACAACTTTAGATTTATATATTAACAAATAATTGTTCATTGACAATGAAATTCTTTCATCATAACAACAAGTTTTGATTTTTATGACCAGTTATTTACAAATTCTCGACTTTAGATTTACATACAACAAGTAATTGTTAATTGATAGTAAACCTAAAGTTATTCCTTTTTTACTAAGGACAATTATGTTTTTTTCCTCTAAAACTTATTTGTAAGAAGGATCTTTAAGCTTGCAGAATAATTTTTAAAAAAATATTGAGCCCTAAGTATAATTATTTCTTCCTCGCAGCCATAGATGAGATTCCCCCAAGAAAATAGTCAAATGCAAAACGCCTGAGCCATATTTTTCAACTCATCCTTGTGCTTGCCCAAAAAAAAAAAAATTGTTTATAATTGAGGTATCAATTATTAAATTAAACCAATCAAGATACTCATTAAAAATAATAATTAAAATTATAATTGAATCTTAATCAACTAAACCATAAGCAAAACATTTTGTTGAACGAGCAAAATATTGATTTGACAATTTATTGATTTAACTATACTTCTAATTCAAACTTAGAACCAATAAATGAGCGAGTTGCCGAATTAGGGGTGGCAAATGGTTATTATGGGTCTGACACCTATGAGCCCAAACTCAAACTCAAAAAATGTAGTACTCTTAAATTTGATAAATGCTTCAAGTTTAATGCTCATTGGTCGGCCTCAAAACCAATCTTGAAAGCCCTCTTTATTAATTTTTATTTTAAATTTTTTTAACTTTCAAATTTTAAAACTATAAGATTGCATGTTTATTTTATAAAATAAAAACTATAATGTTTAAAAATTAAAATAAGTAATGTAAACCTTAATAAAGTATAAACGAGTGTTATAAAGTCTAAATTTAATATAAAAAATTAAAATATCACATTTTTAGGGGGTAAAATAAATTTGCTTATATTAGCAACTTAAGCTTGAATCCATTTTTCATGGCTTAAATTGGTCAAGTTTGAAAACCCTTTTATATAAAAAAAAAATACATTAATTTTCAAAACCTAGACCCTAAAACAAAAGCTTATATTCAGGGCTGTATTTTAACTCAGAGAATTGGACAAGAGTGTAATAAAATTAAAATTAAAATAAAAAATGAATAAAAATTGATCCGATTAATAAAAGTTTGATCAATAACCTATGAGGTCACAAGGTAAAATTTTGCTATCCATATAAAAATTTTGCTAATGAATAATTTATAAATACCTCTATAATATATAAATTTTTTAATCTCTAAAGATGCCTTGACCTTGATAAGTACCAAAACCCAACTTATTTAGACTTCTTTTTTTAAAAAAAAATTGAAATGAAAAAGATACTTTAATTGAAAATTAAAAAATATAAAAAAATTATACAATTTAAATTTAGATTTATTTATACAGCCAGTCTGCATATAGTTTATAATCTTTTTTACTTAAAAAGTAATTAAAAAAGTATTCACACTAAACTACAAATTTTAGGGAGAATGACACTTACGATCCTTTAAAAGAATTTATGGCAATGAAAATCCATAAGTTTTGCATTAACTGTTATCAACAATACACCTTAACTTGTACATGCATATGTCTTGTGAATTTATGTTGTTGTTAAAAGTCATTCTCCCTGATTTTTTTTTTTTTAAAGCCAACTACTCAACTATAATTTAAACTATACACACGAGAGGCAACAGAAAATTATTTAACTTATCACTTTTTTCTTTGAACGAAACTTACCACTTTTATTGTTATTTAATTTATTACTTTCAGATTGACTTTTATTAAAACTTCTGTTAATACTAATTAAAAGATATTAACATTCATTGCATCCCAAGTAACTAGCACAATGCTTTTTTCTTTCAATTAATATTAATATTACATCACATTCGTTGTGTATAAAAAATAAACATAAAAAACGGAGCATCATCATCATCAATATATCACGCATAACCTAAATTTACAAGGATTTAGATTCAATAAGTATCATAAATACATTCACTCAACAACTATCTCAATTACAACAATTAAATTTCACAAAATCTTTGAAAATTATCAATACATATTTCTCTTCAAAAATTCAAAACTTTCTAAACTCTAAAAACTTGAAATTTATTTTTTTTAATATTACCTGACAAAATCATTTACAAACCGTTCCATTAAATTAAACTGTTATTATTATAACACTAGACACTTATTAAGTAAGTCTTATATGACAAAATCATTGACAATAGATTAAATCAAAACCGTTACTATCATACTATATAAGACACTCATTAAGCGATTAAAACACGGTACTACACGAACCATCTTAGCACTTAGTTCTCAAAATAAGCTGAGCCTGCACAACCGTGTCTTCAAAATAATCACAAGCATTCACATTTCAAAATCCGAACATTGATGTTATTTATACGATCAGAAGCATGAAAAGAGGAACTAATCGGTCACCAGAAGCAAGGAGGCTACCTACTCCTCGTCCACAACTACACTGATTTCACCTTTCTCAAGAAGATCATAAAATTCTCTGGTCCTCCTCTGGTTATTCCAGTGGTGCATTTTCCATAAACCACCTGCCAACAGACCAAGTCTTATTCCATACAATATCTCCTTCACCACACTCGGTCCCCGGTATGAAGCATGTGCTATCTTATGAGCAGCCATCTCTATTCTGCAACTTTGACAGCAACAATCACATTTAAACCCAGGTCATGTAACGCCTAAAGCCCTAAACAGAGCCATCAGAACAAACAGAAAGCCAGAGACCATTTCACCATACAAAGAAAAATGTGTGTCAATCCCCAGTTTCTCTTGGATGCAACACATGACATGAACCAGTTTCTATAACTCTGAATATCGTGTACAAATTAATCATATTGATTGTACTTTATGCCTAAATATATTTATCATGGAAAAATGCATGCACTACTAGAATGAACCAACAAACAGCCCAAGACCAAATATACGTTAGTCTGCTGAAATAACCGAGCCAGCTGTCACTGATGATTTGGTTAACTATGTCCGTGTGTATGCAGAATAAATGGTGCCTACTAAAAACTTCTCTCGTATATGTCCATTTCGACAAAATTTCTTGCTGACCCGCCAAAATTTCAAGTGTAAATGCGTCTGCAGGTTATCCACACGGTCAGGTGCAATTTACGGATTGAAAAGAAGAATCAAAGTGCCTGAAATTTTGGGCGGAAAGAGTAATTGAATGGAGAAATTCTTGGTAAACTTAAGAAAAAGGCAACGGCCAAGTCCGGTAGACATTCAAAAATTCTGCCATGCAAAGCATTAGAATCAGAAAAGTAAATCACTCAGCAAGAACAGCGTGTCCTCACTCCTCACCTCTCTGCTTTATCTGCCGGTTACTTCGAACAGATTTTGAATGCGTATGCGTGAGTGTATAGAAGTGTTAAAAGAATGGCAACTTCAGCGGACCTATTCAGCTTCTCAAAATTTATAGACAATAAATCAAATTCAATCGCACCCGCTCTGGAGCCATCTCAGCCAAACTTAAAAGTCGGAGATTCAAATGTAAATCTAACAAATTTATAAGCAATCAAACTGTAGGCACCAATGACGAAACAGAGTTCAATGCATATACCTTTACTCCGAAACCTAAACAGAGTACCCCCAGCTCCACGGCACGAAATGAATTAAAAAGAGGAAAACAGTGATGATAAAAATGTACAAAGCATTCGTGGCAGTGCTGGAAAGGAAATATCTGTATGATCCAGAATGTTCAAGCGGAGATTGAACTCAGCCGTCCGATGAGAGTTTTTTTTTTTTTTATCCAACGATTCCATGCTTCTATGAAAAAAGATAAAAAGTAAAAACGGATGCGATGAGCTGGAACTTTGAAGCCTGCATGCTGGACAGGTGTCCACCATGCTCTCAACAAGAGCCACGTGTCTCACTACCGGTTTTAACATAAGGTGTGTGCGGCCGGACTAGGGCACTCTCCATTTCTTTTCCCTCCATTTCTCTCCATTTCCCCATATCTATCATTCATTAATTTTATTATTTAAAAAAATTATTTAATAAAAAATTTGAATGATGGGGATGAGGAAGTGGAGAAAAAGAAGAGAAAAAATGAAAATACCCCTGATTCGTGTGCGGCCCATAACAAGTAAGGGCCGGGAACATGAGCTCCTGGTTGATTTGGGTTAAAGGCGAGGAGCAGACAAGATTAACAGTCAATCCTTTATTTGTTAACCCCAAAAAACTGTCAATCCTATATATATATATATATATATCATAATAATAGTAATTATTATTATTAACTGTACTTTTATCGTGGACGAATCATTCTCGTTAGTACGGATAAATAATTTTAAAGGCGTGCATAACAATGTATCATCCTTCAGGGACGGGTGGATTGTTCTTCTAACTGTACCGTCTCTCGGGCTCATCATGATCTTTATTCGACATTGCCTGTTTTCATTCATTGTATTTATGTACTGATCAATTTCTTAACAATGATGTTGTTGTTTGTGATTTATAAAAAAAAAAAAAAAGCTAAACCATGCTTAGTTTTTTAATTTTGTATAAAATTTTAACTTAATTTTTTAATTTTATAAAGTATCTTTTTTATATTTTAACTTTAACATTATAAATTTTAAATAATTATTTTTTATATTAATCATAATTATTTTAAAATAATTTAATATTTCAACATTTGATAATATTTTATCAATATTTAAAAGTTTAATATAAAAATTTGTTACAATGAAAATAAACAGTTTTAAGATCAAAGAATTAAAGATACATTTTATAAAATTAATCAATTAAAATAAAATCTTATATAAAATTTAAAAAAAACTAAAGATATACTTTAGCTAAAGGAAAATTAATTTACATGTTTTTTTAATCAATTTTGAATTGTTTAATCTGCAGATCCTTTTAATTTTTATTAATTTTAAAGTAAGTCCATATAATTTATTTTATATTAATTAAGTTTTATAATTTGATAAATTAAATATATTAGTAGTTGAAGATTGAAATTATTAATGAATGGTTAACATTTTTAAAATAAAAATACTTTTAAAATTTATAAAAAAATTGATTTAATAATTTTAACCAAATAAAAATATAATTTAATTTTGTACAATATTTATATTTTTATTAGTTTTTATAGAAAATTATATATATAAATAAAATTTATTTAGAAAATTTAATCTAACTATATAAATTTTGAGTATTAAAAATTATATAATTAATTCTAAAATTTTATAATTTTAAATAAAAATATTAAATTTTTTTATTTTTTTAAAGAAAAAATTTAAGGATATAAAGGATTAACATATTTAATCAATTAAGTTATAAAAATTTAATTAAAAAAATAAATTACAGAAATCTCATTTAAAATTGAAAAAAAAAACTAAAATAATTTGCAAATTAATTTTTCCTTTACAAAATACAAACTCCTCTTAGTTACGTCATACAGTTTTTTTTATATAGAGCATTGAATTGGACGCAGGGCACGTATCCTATAAAGTCAAATAATAGCATTCTTTATAATTTATAAATAATGTTAAATAACAATTTAAACTTTAAATTATGAACTCAGGAAGATTTTGATTCGTAAACTCTTTTTTTAAAATACATTTTAACCTCTAAGCAATTAGATCTGTCAGATTTCTACCGCACCGTTAATTTGAATTAAACGGTGTTGCTTTTTAATCATGGCCCCCAGCATTACTCTCTCTCTCTCTCTGTCTCTGCGTCTCGCTCCCTCGTCCCTGCTTTTTCCTCCATCCTCCTCCTCCTCTCTCTCTCCAGTAGGTCGAACAAGCCAGCATGAAGCCACAATGATTCGGTGATGACATTGAAAGCACCGGTACTGTCGCAGCCGGAGGTAGGCTCTTCCAAAAGCACCAGGGCGGGGATTATTTATATTTCTTCGAGAGGCCGAAACAACAGGTAGTTTCAGCTTCCTTTCCCTCAACCTTGGGCTATAGTAATTTTTATATATAAGCTAGTAACCGCATGCGAGCTGTCTTTAAGTCAAGCTTAGTCGCCCCAAAGTCCAACTCCAGCACAAGCATTCCTGGTTGTACGTGACACAAGCATTTGGTCCTCTACTCCAAAACCACTTGCTTTACAGTCTCTGGTTTTTATCAAGAGGTTTTTGGCTTTTTCTTGCTGATACCTACTTTCCTGTCACAAGCTTCCCTATATAAAACAACACTTTCCCTCATTTACTCGATCAAAATGAGTTCTGCAAGCAAAAGCTTGGATTGTGGGAACAAGTGTTGGAGTTGTGGAGGCGTATGTTGAAGGACCAAGGAGTATGCAGATGGAACTCTACTTTAAGGTCCGGTCAACAGCATCTGAAGAACCAAGCCGTGCTGCTTTTGAATGAGCCCACCTCCGGCTAGGATCCGTGACGGCCGTGACAGTACCGGTGCCTTCATTCTGGCTTGTTCGTCTTTTTTCTTTTTCTTTTTTTTTGGGGGGGGGGTTAGTGGGAGTGAGGAGGAGGGAAGGAAAAGGCAGTTGGGGTGAGACACAAAAAAGAGTTCTCTCCACTTATTTTCTTTTCATTTCCCTTCACTTCTTCCATCCCCACCATTCATTAATTTTATTATTTAAAAAAATTATTTAATAAAATAATTTAAATGATGTGGATGAAGGAAGTGAAGGAAAATAGAAGAAAAAAAAATGAAGAGACCCTTCTCCCAAGCGAGACACATAATCAGAGAGAGTAGGCCTACACTTAAAAGGTAATGATGTTTAGTTTAATTTAGGGATGTGTTTGGATTTTAATTGAATATAATTAGTTATAAAAATTAATTAATATAATTAATTTTAATTATAATCAATTACGTTATAATGTAATTTTATTTGAATATTTTTTTAAATTAATTTTAATAAAATTAAAAATATTAAAATAACTTAGTTAGAACATCACTTTTAAAAATTAAAATATTGATAAGATTGTATATAATGTTATTAGATTTGTTCAAGTTTATTTAACAAGTAAAATATATTATATAACTTATATACCTAATTAATTATAAAAATTATATTTAAAAATAATATTAAAAATAGATGAACCTTTTATAATTTCAATAATTAACATTATAATATAATATTTTCTTGATGGGTGTGGTCTTGGTATTATATTATAATGTCAAAATGTTGCAGGAGGCTTAAGAGTGAGAATTTGACGTGGCGGAACAGAAGTAGGAGGTGGGAGAAGGATGAGCTGTGTATATATTCGCTGGAGATAAATTATCAAATAGTTGGAAGAATATTAATAATTTAATTAATGTAAAAAATAATAATAAATGCATATGACGGTGAAATTGAAAACATAGTTAATATATTTACGTTTTCTACTCTAGTTAATGATCATCCTTGTATAAATAAAAAATACCTTGATCAAGTAACACCTAGCACTAAATATAAGACTTTTGGCATGTTTATATGAGACGTGAGAGCACATATTCAACAAAAACAAAAATTTTATTTACACACCGAAAAGAAAACCAAAGAGCGTGGCATTACTGAATGATAGTAATGTTCCATGGTATTGATTGGTGGTTTTTTCTGACAAATAATAAATACACATAACCGGAGAATTGAAATTCAAAAGCTGATCCCCTAACCCAAGCCAAAACTTGGTTTTGAGTCAAAATTGATTATGAGCAATAATTGGGGTGTTTGGGCATTCTTTACCCAAACCATGCTATTGCCCAAAATAATCGATTATTTTTTATGTCCAAACAAGCACTATATTGTCACAAATATAATTGTTTAGGAGTTAAAAAGTATTAAAAATGAGTTTATAATTTAAATTTATAATCTAGGGTTTAACCTTAAAAATAATGTAGTTTTTTAATATATATGTATATATATTATCTCAATGTGTTACATGACCTCTCAATTTTTGTAACTCAATCGATTATCACCTTTGAATTTATATAAATAGTCATTCTATTGGTAATTAGCATTTTATTCCATTAAGCTGTATAATATATCAATTGACAATGCATCTTCAAGACCCCAGATTATACGTAAATAACTAACCAGCGGATCGGAGTGCAGATATTTTTTTTATTTATGATATTTTCTTTTGCTGGTAAAATAACAAAACAATTTTTATATATAAGAAATTTGCCAGGAATCGTTAAAGTTTGAAGGTAAACAAGTTTTTGTTGCGTTACATGAGATTGTATCTTTGCTTTCATTGAATTAAACGACAGAGAGCGCATATATGTTTCCAAAACAAATGGAAGTGAAGTGAATTACTCGTCTTTTCTTTTTCTTTGTTTTTTTTTACTGCAACTTTTTATCACCCTCGTTTTTTTCCTCCATTTGTTCACTGCAGCTGACAAATACAATAGAGCAGAATGTAGAACAATATTAAAGGGAATACTACACGCCGCGTGTGTTTAGTGTCGGTTTGTGACCTAAAATTCATGTGTGGTTCGTATTTTTTTGAGAATTTAATTAAATATTGATATTATGTATGGATGCCAGTTTCTTCCGACAGGGTCCTGAATCTACGGATCCTGCATTTCTAATCTGCACTGTCGAAGGGTTTGGATCTGCCGTGCAAAAAGTCATAGGTAATGACTTGGATTTGGCTGGTCAAGCTGACAATGTAGGACCTGACACAGTACTCCAATGCACCATTTCGCTAAGCAACCAACAAAAGAAGGAATATCCTGACTAGAGCGTGTAATTCGGTTAAATTTGACCGGCGAGCCTGGATTCATTTAAAAAAAAAATTAAAATTGGATTTGATTATATAAATTTTTTTTAAAGAGTAAGATATTTTAAATTTAATTTAAATAAGTTTAGCCTAAATCGAGCCTAACTGTTAGAATTATTGGCTCTCTATATATATAAAGTTAATAATTCATGTTAGGCCTTATGAGCTAACCTGAATTTATCCAAAAAAAGTTATTGCTAAGTTTGATTATATTTATATGAGCTTTTTAAAAAATATATGATAGTTTAAATTCAATTTGAAGAAGTTCAGTCCAAATTAACTCAACCTACTTAAATTACCGACTTTAATTAGAACACACAATCAAGCGTGAATTCTGGACATGCTTGAGGCCATTCATTTTTTATCTGGAGATAAATATAAGAAGGGAAGTTAAAGTCTATTATGAATGATCATATTTTGGTGTCACGTTATTTTCGATCTATATATGTAATAATTGGAGGAATATATTACAGATGTCGAGTGTAGAGGATCTTTTGATGTCGGGATCAGCCAGAAAAGCCTTATTATTCGTCGCTCAAACGGACACCAGATTGTGTTGTTGGAAGCTCATCATCTATGTGAGATCACAGAGGATTTTCACGCAAAATGTGGGACTCATCGTGCAGTGTTCACCGCAGGATACATTCAAGATTTTTTATGGAAGCTTGCCCTTTTTACAGCGGAGCCCTTTTTTTTTTATGTAACTAAAGTTAAAAAATAAAATAAAATTACACTTTCTTGAGCTTACCAGGCTAACTTATATGTTCAAGTGAGCCAGGAATTTCATTGATCGTGTGTTATGTAAACACGAGATTGGCATGTACATATTTAGCTATGTGCACGTACGCGTGTGCTGATGCGTGGCCGGGAAAAAATAAACTATCGTAATCATTTAAAACATGTAGTCCAAAGTTAATTACTGGAAACTCATTTACCCACTTAGAAAACTAAGTAACGGAAGTTCATGTATAAATAACATTGGAAATTGTTTTAGCTAAATACTTGTACAACAGGCAGTGACTAGTGTGTGTGTGTGTGTGTATATATATATATTATGTGAGAGAGAGAGAGAGAGAGAGAGTCCAGAAATTAGATATTACATGATTTGTGATTCTTTTTATAAAAACATGACTTATGAATTATAACTCGCGTAGACTCTTGTTTAATTTGTATATTATATTGGCATCACTCATATGGATTATGACTCATGGATATGATTCAAATCCTCTGATGTTAGAATTGGTAGATTTTATAAAGTTTACCTTTTTTTTAGTATCCTTGCTCATTTTATTATTTATTATAAAATATATAATTTTCTTTCGCTTTTTTAAAAAATAAAACTCTATTGGAATTCATCAATTACAATTTCAAAAGATTTAAATCCCTTATGATGCTTACTACCATTTTATAAAATATATATTAATTAAAATCTATGATAGCATACATTACTATACAAAATAGCTAGTATATGACAGGTTATGAACCGTTTCGATATAATCAAAAAGAACCTTCCAATATACTCTTTTTTCTTTTTTACAGTAGTGGCAATAGCCAACTGCTAAACGAAAAGACTAGCTAATTAATACAACTAATTAATTACATCAAGATGCAAAGCATTCTAAATAAACATTACCGGGGCTTTCTGTCAAAAAACCCATCCTTCGTCCATCTAGCAAGATGAGGAAAAGAATTAACTTTTGTAACATTTATCTAACCTTTGGGTAAATCCTCAACGGGGAGTTTCGACTAGAGACTACAGGTGTAACTTAATTATTAGTGGGTTCTAAAAAAATTAAAATTTTAATTCAGTTCAAGAAAACTGAAGTGAAGAAAAAATTCAATGGTAAAAAGACCGAAGTATCATTCATTTGTTAATTTTGTCTGAGATATAAAATTATTATTGTTAATTTCTTCACTTCACTTATTAATTTATCAATGTAAATTATAAATTATATTAGTTTGTCAAACAAACAGCAATATCATTTGTTAATTTATTAACTTTACTTAGTCAGTAATTTATAATTGATGTTAGTAAATTGATAAGTAAAGTTAATAAATTGATAACTGATATTGCTGCTTGTAATTAAATAACTAATCTCAAGTTTTGTATGATTATTGATAAGTCAAGTCATGCAATTTATAACTCATATTGATAAATTAATAAGTAAAGTAATAAAATTAATAATTAATGATTTACATATTGGAAAAAATTAGCAAGTGATACTTTGATCTTTTTATTATTGAAATTATTTTCACTCCAATCCTCATGGATTTAAGCCCAAAAAAAAATCTCATAAACTAAACTGAAATTTCAATTTTTTTAAGACCCACTGATAATTAAATCACATCCTTAATCTTTAGTTAAAATTCTCCCAATCTTTAACTGCGAGTGTTTTTTAAATGATAAGTCAACATATCGCTTTTTGAGAATTATACTTACTTTCTGCAATATTTAAATTTGAATTGAAAAATTTAAAGAATGGCAAATACTTGCATGCAGGTTCTATATATCAGCGATGCATCCGGATAATATATTTGAAATATAAAGAAAATTACATATACGTTACCATACATAGAAGAATCAAACTGTTCAAGATCTGACTTTTACATGAGAGTATCAACCAATAGGCTAGCTATAAACCACCTGCAGATCAAACTAAAAGCAGCCTAGCATCTAGGTTTGAATTCAAAATAAAAATTCAGACACCGCTCATCTATAAAGAAAAAATTGCAGGCACATGTAAATCAACAAAAGACCAGAGAAATCAAAATCACCGTTTAATATATTTAAGAATTAACAGACCTCTATAAATTTTATATTATAAATATATGCACTGACATGTATCATGCATATGCGTGAATTAATTCAATTTTTTACTGCCCATGCTGCTATATATGTTAAGCATAGGTCTATAACTGTTATTTTGATGGAGGCGTACGTGCGTAGAGCTATTATGATATTCCTTGCATGCTTTTACCTACGTCAGTAATATTTTTTACAGGACCAAGAATGCCTGCAATCTTTTTTAGGTAAAAAATAATAATAATCCCAGGTAAATGTCTCCAACGAAATTACATACTCATCAATTAAGAGAGAAAATATGTGCAAAATAGAGTAAGTTTTACTGTTCAAAAAAAGAAAAAAGAAGAGGAGGAGGAGGTGTAAAGGATCCGTGTTTTTTTTTTTTTTTTTCCGGCCAAAGTAAAGGATCCGTGTTTAAAGAAAGTGTCCCGATATATCCGCACGCGTCGGGCACGTAACTTGTCTTTAATTGGTTCAATGTACCCTTATCCCAACAAGGGTGAACAGAAACGATCCTCTATATATGGGCAACTAGTCAAATATCTGCATGCTATGTACCCACTTCCACTTAATCGTGCTAACGTTATCAATACCATGCCCTGGACATGAACATGTTTTCGCGGAAACATCACAAATATTCATTATTTTTCCTTTAATTTTTCACCAGGGAATGCAAAAGCAATAAAGGCAGGAACGTTCACGTATACAAGTCAACAAATTCACAGCTACTTCTTTATATCCTGCTCTGACCCATACACAGTCCAGGATTAACGCAATAACATGGACACTTCCTGAACCGTATGTATAGGAAGAAGGGACAGGAACGACTCTAAGCTGGAAGTTTAGAATATATCACCTCAGCTTATTAATAATATCCATCATTTACATATATGAACTGCATATATTGCACGTATCATTTGAGATACTTTACTTTGGTATCTCTTGGCGGGAAATAAGAATATGTTAACTAGCTAGGTTTATTCTATTTGTACGTCCTCAAAGCAATGCAACTTTATATGGCGTTTATATAAAGCATTCCAAGTCATGTATGATATTCGGTGAAGAGAACTTCAGTTTCATTCACACGATCTACTCAGACAATATATTTTGTGGTATATTGTAGAGAGAGCGGGCTTTGAGAGATGCCTACAGAGAGTTCACAGTTTCATACATGTATATATACAGGCACATTCCATGTATAAAATACACTATATAAAAGGCTGACTCGCTCTCAGGGTCTTACTGCATATATAAGTTAACGCAGGTAGATAAATTCACATGTTATTATCTGCTCCTCTGTGAATGTGAAAGGCATCCCCACAAACATCATTATTCCAAGGAGAAGGATAGTAAAAAGCAGAAGGAGACTGACCGAGAAGAGACGATGACGAGCCTCCAGGTCCTTCAGTACCGAATAATCTAGTTCCATCTTGATGAGTAGTGGGTATTTCACTGCACGTATAGCGAATCATTTCAGCATTTGTGGCATCTAGTTCCTTTTGGAGCCTAATGACTTGCCTCTGGAGAACCGAGATGGCTCCGACACAACCATACACCGGATCTTTGATCCGAGCTTCAGCTTCATAAGCCAGAGAGTTCACAGCATCCTCTCTCTGATGAGGTAGCACTTCGTTCAAGAGCTTGCTCACGTTGCTTGCACCGAATATCTTGTGAACGTTGGCAAATTTCTGAGGTTCTTCTGGTGGGAAATATGGCGCAAATATGCAGTCTGGCATGCACTTCCTTCTCAGAAACTTGCAGGCTGCACATGGGGAATTGTAGCTCGATGAAGAGGCCATGATATATATATGTATATATCCTTCGCTGCAAGTTGCAACCGGGAAAGCAAATTAATATGTTCATCTTACAGAGTCATATTTCTAATAATTGTTCTCCAAAAAACTGTATCCGCAAAACATATTGCCAAGAGTATTTCATCAAACTAGATTCCTTATAACAGAAATCCTCATGCATGCAGGAAAATAAAAAGCAAATTCCCTTTTGAGTATTAACAAAATTAAATCTCCGTATACACCGTAAAGCTCATAACCTGTTAAACTTCCAAGCAAACATATAAAGAGCTAGCTGGAGCTTGAAGGACGCAATAATTTATAATTACTCGATCGCTGCGCAACCTTTAATTTCCTTGCATCTTTTTTGTCCCTTGCTAAGAAGTTTCCTCATGTCCAAGTGACTTTATTCAAAGGATTTCAAACTATTCTCCAGAACAGCCAATCGAACACTTTCTTAACTTAATTTGTTTTGTTTGTGGGAGAGCAAGGCGAGAGGCGAAATTAAAGTAAAAATGATAACAATTCAAAGAGACGACAAGTCTCTAAAGATCTATGCTAAGTTCTTTTGATTTTCTTCACTTCAACTGTATATTTCTTCAATCACCAAAAATTCATAAAACTACGTGTATTTCTATCATCATCTAGACATAAACCCTTATCCCCGATGTTTCCGCTTGGTCTCATATAATAACCTTCTATGATGGCTAGACAGGTGACTAAAACGCCAAGACAGGCGTCCTATAATGAATCGAACTTTCCGTTAAGTGATCGAATATAGGACGTGGGAAATTTTCAAAAGACACATCGTTGATTGATTATATTCACTCATATTTAATTTCAGCAGAGACATATATAGCTTTAAATAAACAAAAACCCGAATCATGTTAATTTATGATATATGCAGGAGCTTGAATCGGAAAGAGCAGATATATTGAAAGCACGATTTGCGCAAGATTGAAACTAGCTAGCTTGTTTTTTTTTTGAACAAACAACGTAAATACTTGATTACCTTTTTTCCGGACGTGCGGAGAGATAGATAGTCAAGATCTAATCTTTAATGATTCGAATGAAAAAGAAGTGTTCGTTTAGCGAGGGAGAGTTCTTGATGATTTACTATTGGATGTGAGAGTTCAGGCAGAAAACCCTAGGTAGTTGCAGGACAAGATGAGGGAAACCCGCAATTTACAGTGAAACGGACAGCAACTTGAGAGTGTGGAGAGGCAAATGGCATTTCAGTGGGAAGGAAAAGAAGGCAAAAGACAAGTGCAATAAATAAGGCTTCAAGACCAGAAAAAATGCGACTACTTTTTCTTCTTGGTAAATCTTGTCCTCGCTCCTCAGACGCTTCCTGAGTTCAATAAAAATTTTAGCTATTTACAACAAAAGGACAGGACATTTTTTACAATAAATTTTACTTTGAAGAAAAAAACGATTTTTTTTTTAAAGTGTGTGTACACTTTCGGTAACATGTTCCCAGAGCCTTAAATACTATTCCAATAAAAGTGTGTGATATCAATGACCACGTACTGCTATCCTCCCTCCCCAAACATGTACTATAAGATTTGGATTTTGTGAGAGTCTCAAGTTCTCTCACTCTGAGTATTCATATGGTAACTGTATATGATTTCAGGTCCGGTTCCCCTCCAAATTCTCCCTCTCTTTTTCCCTCCCCGTTGCATCCCCGCCCTTAGGTATTAAAATGAATGATTTGGATTTAATTGTTTTATAAAATAATGGGTTAAACTACAAATCTACCCTCAGTTTTTGGCCAGACGCACCTCATATTTAAAGTATTTTTTGATATAATTTTGCCCTAACGTTTTTTATCCCCTACCATTAAAATTTGACTATGTTGACTATTAGTTGACTTTGAATGGCTAGATTGGCTGCCACTTGGCATATTTTTTTTTTTTAAAAAATACACGTGTGTATTTCAAATGATTTCCCCTTCCCTTAGCTTCCTCATTTGCCTTCTTTGTGTTCTTCTTCCTTTACAAATATGTACTTCATAATCCACCACATCAAACCCTTCCACATCTTCATGCTACTCTCTTTCCCCCCATCTTCCTCGTCTTCTTCATGCAGACTACGGAGGAAATAAGAGAACGAGAGCAAATATAGATATGGGTTGAAGAGCAAATGGATATGTTTTTCATTCCTGCACTGACAACAAGAACATGAGTTCCTCCCTTCTTTAGCATCGACATATCGTCTTCCCTATCTCATTGATTTCAACTTCATCCTCTTCTCTAGCTTCCTATCACTCTCCTCTCTCCCTCTTCTCTCTCCTTGGATAAGATTCACATATGGTGGCAAAAAAGGACGTGGGGAGGCTAGAGGAGATTCAAGAGGAGGTAGCGTGATAGGAGATGCATTCTTGCTCCTTGGTTTTAAGAAGGCATTCATGAGGATGATATCAATGAAGTAAAAGCTTGCTTTTACTATGCATTAAAGAAGCTTGATTCTAGATTAATTTAGCCATAAGTTATTTCATCTACTTTGTTGGCATCGTCTTCCATAAATGTCTTCAAATAAGAATTCTTTGAACTTCTTTTTGAGTTGAAACTGATAATGAAGGTAAGAAAATTGGAGAGATTGATGCATTTTGGGTCTCATAATTCTAAAAATAAATTATATTTAGTCAAAATTGAAGGAAGGTGTTGTATGGTCCATTTTTTATAATAGAGGCTAACCAATGCTTTTCAAGAAATAGTTCATGACTAAATTTACACCTTTGCACATGCTGACGTAGAATGTTTGTGGAGTGCCATGTGTCATTATGGGGGCCCATACAACGTCTATCAACAAGTGATTAATTTAGGAAAGCTTATGGTTTCATGTTGGGGAGCATTGGAGGTTCGGTGGTTAGATGATCATGCTAGAGTGTAATTGTGTGGAATTGTTGTAAAAAGATGCATTTATCTCATAAATCTTATATACTTGAAATTACCTTGGTTTTGATACTTTATCATGGTTATTTGTGGTAATAAGCATTTAATGAATTATATTAGTTATTGAGATGTTTATCTCACCTCGCGGTTACATTTTATAGGTGAGGGCTCCGATAAGGGCAAGGGGAATAAAGGGGCAATTGAAGAGTGAAGAGCGTTCTTCCCCTTTGTCTTTTAGATTTGTAACGAATATTGCTATTATATAATGCCAACTTAGGAACATGACATTATTTTATGGTATCACTTGTATGAATTTGTAATAAGTGTGCGTATCTTGGTCCAAGGATAATGTTGTGGATTAAATGTGTGTGCTTGGCCAAGTTACAATTACAAATGAAGAGTTTGAAGTGATTTGTGTGCCAAAATAACCAATTGACATGTGTGTTAAAATTTAATCCACCCCTTTGTATTATTGTCAAATGGGGGGTTTGGTGGTCATTTTAAGTATGATTGTTTACTTGTGTGATATAAATGAATTGTCATGTTGTGTGTGATCCATTTGAGGTGGTCAAAGTGTCTCTAGAGCTAATGGCATTTGGTAGTGTGAGTTGGACACCTTTGTTTGTGTTTTGAGGTGAAAACAAACCATTTTGGGTTCGAGTGTCCATTTTTAAAATGAATAATTGTTTAAGTATGAGATCGGTGTTATTAGCTAGAGGGCTCGAAGAGCTTCATGTGAATACTTAAACCACCCAAATCAAATGTCAAATAACAGTAGGTGCGCGTTGCGGCACAAGTGGCCTTTGAGGGACTTGTCCCTTTGTGCCATCTGCCGTGGTGAACGGGCCAAAATTTTTGAAAAGTGACTTGTTTTAGCTTAATTTAATGTGGTTTGATTTTCATGCTTCTATATTTTCTCTTAATTGATTTTTAACCATGGTTTAAGCTCAAACACTATTTAAAAAAGGTTTTTCTTAGTATCCTATTATTTTAACTAATTATCTTTTAAACTCTTGAGTTGTGATAACTCCTTCTTAGAATTCAACTATTCTTAGTTATCACAACAGCATGTAAGAGTGTTGTCCTGATAATGTTAAGACGGATATTATAACTAGAACCTAACTAGTATACACCAGTTTATGATGAGGCTAGATTAGAGGTACAACACCCCATCAGTACACAAGTGAGTGAGTTAACCCTGGCTCGATAGCTCCTCACAAGTGAAAGGTTGAGTTAGTCTGAGTTACAGATGTAGCTATTGATAGCCACCAGTTTCATATTGGAGGTAATAAGAGGGTATACAATTGGCATTGATCATACATTTATAGTCCTAACCACATGATTGTTAATATTATGGTTCGGTATGTTTTAAAGGCACATGGTTGTTATTTTAGGACCCCAAGATGTGCATAATTGTAATATATCCAATGATATGTATTGTATGTTTGGTCTCATGGTTTTTATTATTGTGGTTGATGCTATATTTGATATGTGAATATATGATATTTGAGTTTATTACGAGTTGCATTCATAATTAATTGATATGCAACTGTATAGGTTAGGTTGACTTTACTAAGTGGTTGCACTCATCCTTTATTCTTCAATATTTCAAGGTCTAGTTCATCGAATTAAGATTGGAAAAAATGATCGAAGAAATAAGATTTTGAGCAAAATCCTACTCACAGGCCTCTTAAATGCATTTATGTGTATTTTAAAGTTGTTTGCCAACTGGGACATCAAACAACTCATTTTTGTTGACTACTTGTATTATAGTTGAGAATATCTTGTGTATTTTGTGCTTGGAGCTAGTGGCATATGATTGTAAAGCTTATATAAGGCCGAAATACTAATGCAAATAGGGTAAATATAATAGGTTTGAGTTTCTCATTGAACAAGTGAAATAGTCCCTTGAAAAATTACTTTGAACATTCATTTAATGCCACAAACTCAAGAGGGTAATATAATAGTGATCCCACTACTCTTGGGTCAGCTCTTTCCTCTTCTGCTATCAGTGTCAAAACTTGTAAAAATTGTAATCATGGGGTGATATAAATTCTTAGTAACTAAAACAATCTAAAACTAGTTATTAACAATAAGATCATAAACAAATAAATAAAATATTTGTATTACTATTCTCAATTTCATATTACTATGTATATTATATATCCATTTTCATAAATAATTATAATTGCATGCTAATCATCCTATCCAATGGAACCTCCATATTTACCTTGATTGAATAGGCTCCACTAGACCAATTCTATGCAAACTGATTTAAGCAATTCTTTAGTGGTAAAATCATCAGGCCAAATGTGTTTTGTCTTACTTTCGGACTATAGATTTCCCTTATCACACATGCAATCAGGGTGTCATTACTCCAATGCCGCATCTTATAGATGTTAAAGAGTGTAATCTCTAACACCACACCTATACAAATACCAAGGAAAGGAATTTTCTAACATCACTCCCCTTAGGGCACCAAGGAGAATATGTCACTGCTATATAGACTTACATGCTATTCTACCTAGGGTAAACTCCAACCTTATATCATGATTATGCCTTTTCATGTAATATCCAATCATATATCCACATACGTATAAAATAATTGACTTATCATTTAGCTTTTACAATAACTTCCTTTAATACTTTACTTTATAAGTTAAATCCTTTGCCTATTCAAAATCATGCAAATTTTAAATTATGCCAATAAACAATATCATATTACACATATTTACTTATAAATAATTGTATTAGTTAATAGATATAATGAATTATCCGATTATCTCAACCCTTCTGTTTCTAGAAAGGGTTACTGGTGGTATACTTTATGTTGTTAGCTTTGAACTGCTTAGAATAATTCGCGCCATGCTAGTCTTAACCCTTTTTCACAAGCTTTCTATAACTTCTATTAGCTTTTAAACAATCCATACAATAATTTCACCTTTTTAAACTTCTCATTTGGTTAAATTAAGCTTATAACTTCAAAGATCAATTATTAACCATAAAACTAGTTGTAAAATTTTAGCTTAACTCCTAATAACCCTTTTATAACTATTGAGTCAGAAAATAATTCT